GGCATCACAGTCAGAATCAGCTATTTTACCACAGAGAATGTGGCTCCTAGAGAAACCATCACATGAACAAGCTTCTGTTCAGCGGGAGTCAGTGCGTTTACTGACCACCTGACACCCCCCCCAAATTGTGGGAAACATCAGAGCCAGGTTACACAATTAGACAGCACTAAGAAAAAATGCCAGTGTACGTGGAGTTCCATATGTATTTTTTCTGAGTAAAAGCATTATAATATGTTATAGTGTTTACTTTCCAAGATTATTTTTTTAGTGAAAAAGCATCTCACTTTTTCTTAATTTTCTATCCTAGTTCTTTTTTCTCAGGAAGGAAGTATCCATTACAGCAGAAACATGGATATATGAATCACATTTCTATCTTACAGATGTCAATGAATGTGACCTGAATCCGAATATCTGCCTCAGCGGGACCTGTGAAAACACTAAAGGCTCATTTATCTGCCACTGTGATATGGGCTATTCAGGGAAAAAAGGAAAAACGGGCTGTACAGGTACGCTTCCTTTTTCATACCAATCAAAAAAATATCAAGTCGCTAAGAAACTGCCATAATGACTGCAGTTTAGCACAAGTTTTTAGACATACCATTCTAGCGCCATTGTAGGCATTTCGGATACTATATTCATTAATTTAGCTTCTGTGCCTTTGAAACGTCCCATGCTCTATGAGACCCAAGGTGAGGTCTGTTCTATCTGTGAAAATAAAGATGTGTTGCATTGGATAAGTTAACACGACTAATGATGTGATTTTTATGGGTTAAGAATCATATTTTCAGGTCACATTAGTGACCATGCTGGCTCCTGAATGCTCACACTCCTTTATCAGAGCAAGATCTTTTGATAATCCTCTTTGCCAAGACTTTATTTTACAACTGACATTATCTTCTAAAGAAAATGCCCTATATTTCACCGGTTCTTACCAGTCTTCACTTCCTCCAGTTAGAGTGCCTTCGACACGTTAGCTAATTTGTGTGACTTAGCTAATGTCATAAGAGAACTGAACCATTCATGGTCTTCTTGTTCATTATCAGTAGCATTTAAGAAGAACCTTTCACAATGATTTCAGGAGACTGTACAATTAAATGCCAAGTGGAAGAAGCTACTCTGTGCCATGATGTTGTTTTATACATGTTTTGTTGTTTTCAAACATGAAATAATGAAATTAAGTACATGGAGTGGCAGGCAGAGTAAAGTTTTACTATAATAACTTATATTAAAGTTACCCATTGTGGCATATAACATCATTTAAAACATCATGGAAATCATGGTGCGTTTGAATTAGATAACTGTAAAAAAAAAAAAAATTAACCAGTAGTGGGCTGGACTTGAATTTTAAAAGCTGCTGGACAAGCCCTTGTGACTTAAACATTGATATTGGCAGTTAGAGAATGTGAGGGTCCTTCTCTTAATTATATCATTGTATTTCAAGAAAGCATCAAAATATATTTATCAGTTATAAAGTGACTGTGTTAATTGTCAAACTTGCTAATACACAGCAGTAATATTATTGGTGATTCTTCAAAAGTGTCAGCCTGCCCAAGCCATTAACAGAGGCATAATACTGAAATGCTTTTATGCTCCCTTTATTGCTTTTCATAGAAAGGCTGGCTAGGGGTCCTTTCTGGTAAATGGCAGAATGCTTAAACCCTCAACTCGTCCATTTAGGCACTCAGAGACAAATGATTCTTAGGTTCAACATTTACTATCAGCTGCCAATGTCAATATAAGACTTGCTAAGGTCTGGCAGCATGAAGAGGGAGGTAGACTAATTCTATGCTGCTTTGTAATGAATAAAGGCAAAAATCAAGCTCCCTGAAGTTCAGGCAGAAGATCATGATGATCCCAAAGAGACAGAGTCTCTAGGGACAGTGTTCATTGACTCGAGGGAAAGACTGTGTAGATCTCCATTATCCCGAGTCCTTTCAACTGGTGAAATGTGCAGTGGATGGTTATTTGAGGGTCTTTACCATGAGGGAAGGTTATGTCCGTGCTGGAGGTACAAGAGATACCGTGTTCCGTAACTTACTGCTATTCCGGATACAGCGTGTAGAGGCAACATGACGTCTACCCAAACTTCTGTGAAACTGTTTGCCACACATGCATGAAATCCGCTTTAAAAGAGAAATGTTTACTTTGTGTGCAGAAAGGCTTGTTTTTATAATTGAGTTTGCAGAGATGCTGAGACTGTGGGGGACAGGAAGTACTCACTGCGTGCTGGAGAGACAGTACCAGTGTTACGGTACAGCAGTCACCTTTTAGTAAACCCCACGAACAGAAATGTACTCAGAGAAATACTGTCTTTTCAGAGGGGCCAGTACCTCCCTATTCTTTCCAACTGCACCCTAGAATGACTTTTCAGTTTGACAGCATCCAGCAAGTACTATAGGAAGAAGCCCTGAGGTGTGTGGCTTCTTCAGTATCATGGTGGGATGGCTTATGATATTCACATTTGATAGAGCTTCCACGGGTTTGTGATCATGAGCAAATAACTAGGGTCCTCTGCCTTTAATCAAACAATCTCCTTGGACAAAGAACTTGGCAGTGACCGATGGGAGGAAGGGGCTGCGTTAGGGCCAGAAAAAAAAAATCCTCTGTGAATAATCCTGTTAGTAACAGCCAAGGGTATCACACTGGACCGGAAATGACTTCCACAGACAGGAACTGGCAGGAAGCCTCACACACTTGAAAACAAGTTTTAAAAATTCAGCCAAAATGTCTTTTCAGTCCCTCATAACTAGGGCTCTTTCAGGCTGGTTTCAAATCAGTGTTACTCACAGCGTTGAGCGCCATTGGGTCACCTTGGAGACGGCTGTGTTAAAGAGAAGTGTTTATCATATCCTAGACAACTAATGTAAACGGAGATACTTATCTTGCCTAATTGGATAAGCAAGACATGCTACAAATAACAGAGACGTTTCAACTGTATCCTAACCATACACACACACACACACACACACACACACATGCACACGCACACGCACACACACGCATACGCACACGCACACGCATACCCTTGCTTATTTAGATAGGATTTTTAAAATGAGTACCCTGGGAAACGATTATTAAGAACACTTATGCTGTTTCCTAAGAAGGGACTTTGTTTCATGAGAACTAAAATCACCCTCTGGGCTCCATTACAGCTCTGTCTAAATATTCCAGCTCCCTTGTCATTACTGATTGTTTCCATTTTAACAAATAAACATGTTTTCTTCTCCCAATCACATAGGCAGTGTTAAGAATCCACCCACTGACTCACATTCCCAGCCCACACAGATGCTAAGGGCTTCGGGTTTTTTTGGGTTTTTTTTCTTCTTAAGCTTTGTCCAAATTGTGGATACTGCTAAGGGGAATGTTTGATTTAATGGAGAGAGAATGCACGTTTGTTGAAACCTAGGACGCAGCTCCTCTGTCTCTGGCTTCAGTGGGTGGGGTCACAGTTTTCCTGTGACCTCTGCTGCTCATGCTCAGTGACTGTAATTGGAAGAAGGTAAAGAAAGTCATTTCAGGGTGCCACCCAAGTGGGTCTTGCCTTTCACAAGCTCAATTTTAAGAACCTACCTGGCATCACATGCACACTTTACCAGTGGACACAATCAGGATTGTTGAAATAGCTAGATTTCTGGATAAATCCTTTTCTCAAACTCTCTGTTCCTTTCACATGAGAACTGTTCCTGGTGGGTCTGAGACATGGGCCTCTGCACCAACAGCCAGCCATTTCCTCCCGTCTTATCACTCTCCTCCGCTGGCTGTCAGCCTGTGGAAACTCCATGGGTGTTCACTTCAGTCAATAGTTTTGGCTCAAATTTTGACCCAAATTAAGAAATCCAAGTAGTCCTTGCATTTAGGCTGCCACACCCTCTTCCTCAACTCCTAATTCTAGAGACTCCTCATCTGTCAGTACACTTGGGGCAGATGGTGTCCGGGAGGCAGAAAGGCAGGCTGTGTGTGGGTGGCATGGCCTCTCTCTCTGTATGATGGCCGTGGGAGGTTACAGAAGATCACCACACATCCCATACCTGGGCGACAGGTTTCTGGGCTAGGCAGAGCCCTGCCATGGAATCTGCTTGCAGCTCACTCACCCTTGCCCTTCAAGGGGCCCTGCACAAAGGACCCGTGAGAGCCTTCGAGACAGAGGACCCGTGAGGCTGCAGAGGCTCCAGTGTCAGCCTGAATTTGAATTGCTTTGCTTTGCTTTGCTCCCATTAATTCTGAAAAATGAATTTTCTGTCTGGAGCAAACTTGTGGAGCAAAGAGAACATTTGTCCAGAGAGATGTTCTTGGCAAACGCGCGCTGTTTCCTTCATGCTGTTGAGGAGAGTTTCAGCACAGTGCTTTTGTTTGCTTGTTTTCCCTGCGGCTCAGTTTCCCCTCTGTTTGCCAGTCTGCCGTGGAAACAGTTCATCAATAAGAGTTGGTGTGTGAGTGTGTGTGTGTGTGTGTGTGTGTGTGTGTGTGTGTGTGCGCGCGCGCGCGCGCGCGCGTGCGCATGAGCATTGCTGCTATTAACCCAGAAATATGGTTGCAGTGTGTGTGACCTGCGGGCTTTCTCATCTGCTCCTTACACACCAAGCACGGAAGCTACTCAGCATGATGAGTCATATTCACCATGTGAGACTTGCATATGACCCTTGAACTGCTCTTTCCAGGTATTCCAAAGCCCACGACACACAGCCTCTTGCAAACAGAATTTCTTTCCACCTTGAAAGCATGATAAAAATCTAAAAGTATGTTCTTGATTTAGAATTTCATATTACATTTTATAGTAATAACTAAAGGAGATTCCTCTATCAAAAGAAGTGGTCGTTTTCTTAAAAGCAAGATTAGGGGAAAAGGTAAAACACATGTGAACATTGTGCTGCCTTTGACCAGTAGATGACTGGACAGAGGGAGAAAAAAGAGACAATTGGGGCTTGAATGGTAGAAGAACATGATGTAGATATATGTGAAAATATAATCAGACCCATTTTATACAATGAATGTATGCTAGTAAAAAGAGAAAATTGGAGAGAGAGTGTAGAATTACAGATTGATAGGCTCTGATTAACTGTGAAATTGTAATTAGTAAAAGGTTCGTGGATGTTTCTCTGAGTCTGACAGCTCTCATCAGCATTTCAGTCTTTAAAATGAAGTTTTAGTTAGTAATCCCAAAGCAATTCAAATTCAGGCTGACACCGCAGCCTCTGCCGCCTCACGGGTCCTCTGTCAGTTCATGTGACCTTTGAGACCACACTATAATTAGCCTAAACAACTTGAAATGATGGTAAAAAACATTCTCTCCTATGTATTTTCATGTCCCGATTGTCGGTGACATAACAAAAGAATTCTATAAAAGAAACCTGTTGTTATTGTATGTTGTGCTTGGGCCCAAGACCATTCTAGGCTTAAGATGAAGCGTTTTGACAAGCCACCTGTTTCTTAACACTTGAGAGCTGTTGAGCCGAGCTTCCTGAGTAAATGAAGGGCAAACACAGCTCGTTTACCTGGAGTCTTTTTCAAGCCATTGTTCAAGTGATCACTGGAGATTGTTGCAACATTTCCTGTGCCTGTCTTCTTCTTCTTGACCCAAGTTTGGTGTGAGGCATTGGTTTACATTTCAAAATCATAGATTCATATCCATGCATATTTGTTCCTAGTGAATGACAGAGTGAATTGTGAAGGTAACAACTTATATGTTGAGTTTGTTTGAAGAACTAAAACAAAAAATCACCATAACATTTTTATATAGTCTATCTTGGCTAAATTTGAAATGAAATTTCAGAGAATGGAGAATTTTGAAACCATTTTTGATCTTTTACTAACTTCACCTACTCTGGTATTTCTTAGTCTTACCCAAGTTCTCTCTAGTTTGACTTGAGTTGTACATGAAATATGCAAGAAGCCTTAGGCTGCCAGTGTGCTGGGACTCTCGGGAAGCTAAGAAGAGTTCCATATTGCCTTACGCAACATTTTCTGCACATGATTGAAGTGATAATACCTAAAATAGGGATCTAATAAGAGCAAAACATAATGGAATAACAATGCTTAAAATTTAAGAATAAAAAGTATCACATACTTCAAAAGTTTTCTGATATGTCAACATTATATTCCTTTGCCTATAAAGATGTGAAAACGCGTAATTACCTATAGTTGTCTTAAAAAATATATTGTCAATAAAAACATGACCATGATCACTAACCAGAAGGGCATTAGGCAACTCACCTTTTAAGTTGTCACTTGGAGAGAGGTTCGCTTTGCTGAGAGGTGCCTGGGTGCTCCCATTAGAAATACAGAGACGAATGGATGTTACCAACAGCAAATGCAACGACCACATCAGCCCTTCCTCATAAATTAAAATGCAAAGCTGCTCATCAGGGAGGGATCTTAGCATCTATGTGGAGACTAAGTCGTCTGTATTTTCCAGGGTGAGGATGAGAGGGAATCCACTTTTGAGTATTGCCAAGTCATTAAAAAGACCACAGCTGTTGTTCTAAAGCACTGGTTATGTATTTTGCAGACATCAATGAGTGTGAGATCGGAGCACACAACTGTGGCAGGCATGCTGTATGCACCAACACGGCGGGAAGCTTCAAGTGCAGCTGCAGCCCGGGGTGGATTGGAGACGGCGTCAAGTGCACAGGTGAACTGGAAAAATAACGGAGGCTGCATTCATGAACTGTGTGGATTAGAAACACGAAAATATTCATTTTATAAAGTAAAATTTAATTTTAATTTTATTTCCGTGTAATGTCATGGTATTGATAATGCTGTAACCTTTGTTCCTAAGATCTGGATGAATGCTCTAACGGAACCCACATGTGCAGCCAACACGCAGACTGTAAGAACACCATGGGGTCGTACCGCTGTCTCTGTAAGGACGGCTATACAGGAGACGGCTTCACCTGCACAGGTAGGCTTGCTTCGGAGACAACTGGGTGACTGACATGTTGGAAAGCACATGGCCCACAGCAGACCAACAATTCCTTTTGAGGACTGGGGCATGCCTGTGGAGTAACAGAAAAGACTGCTTACTTCTCTGAGATTAGATCCCCATGGAATGAAACCTCGAGGCAAGTCACCAAGGTGCCTCCAAAAAGTTAGCGCAGTGTATGTGTGTGTGTGTCTGTCTGTCTCACTATCTCTCACATCTCATATATATGCATACATACGTACACATATGCATTTATATGCACATATATACATGTACATACATATATGTACATGTATACATTTATATGCACATACATCGATCTATATAATGGCATCTTTATTCTAAAGAAATCATATTCCTTTTTATATGTGTTCACCTTTGTGTTTTGGTGACTTGTTGTCTGTGTATCTGTGTATCAAACCCAAGGAGAAGCTTGCTGTAGGAAGATATGAAGGGGCAGAGGATGTGGTGTTCTGTCGGAGGAAAACAGTGCAGACTTTCACCACATCATCACCATCGCTGCCTATTGGCATAACAGCAGTTCAGAACCGCTCTATCAGGCTTTCTCTCACTTTATGATGTACTCATGAGATTGCCTTCCTTCTTAGCTCTAATTAAAAGTCACAGAATTAGCATAAACTTGCTATGTGAATTTAAATATGTAGGATCGCATAAATATGTGATTGCATAATTTATGCAGGTAGTTATATGCACATGTCCACAAAGACAGTACCTCTTGCGTCAAGGCTTTGGGATTAAATAAGATAGACCCATTGTCCATAAAGTATGTGACTTATAGCATAACCTTAAATTAATTAAATACATTGAAGCACTAATTTCTGCCTGGCACTGTGAAATTAATAATGAGATGCCAAGTAAGTACGAGAGAAGCTAACGCTCACTGAGTGGCTTACTGAACGTTTTACCATAGCTGAAATCATCTCTGCCCAGCCCAGGGGTGCTGGTCTCATTATCTTGGGGAAAATATTTAAATTACACTTATTGGGTATCGATGCCTCACATGCTTGGTGTTTAATGCTTGTGACCTTGCCACTCCGCCTCCTCTGCCACCCCTTTGAGCTGAGCCCAGTGCCTGAGAAATGGGCACGCACTGTGACATGTTCTTTTGAATATGTCCTTTCTGTGGGTGACCCTTCTTGTGAAAAGATCCTAGCCTGAAAAAATGGGTTTGACTCCATATTCACTTTGCAGCACTAGTGATCATTTAGCCTTCAGAGTTCTTAATCTGTATCCCATACTGCTGCATATTCAATATTGGCATTCAAAAGAGAAAACCAGTGAATTTAAATTTGTCAAACAGGAATTATGATGAAGTACAGTTATACTCAGGAACTTGGCAGTGATGAAAATTATAGGACCTGAGGCATTGGAAAGCGCTCGACTGAAAAAGCATAACTTGTGTTTCTGTCTGCAGACCTCGACGAGTGCTCGGAGAACCTGAACCTCTGTGGCAATGGCCAGTGCCTCAACGCCCCTGGCGGGTACCGCTGTGAATGTGACATGGGCTTCGTGCCCAGTGCTGACGGGAAAGCCTGTGAAGGTAAGTAACCACGGGGAAGCTGTAAGGAGCCTTCGGGGCTGGATGAGATTTACCTATTCAAACATGACTGGGTTTTTTTTTTTTCTATTTTAAACTTGAAATACATTTTGCCTTCATATTTAAGCTGCTTAGTTCAGTTGGTAGAGGATGTGATGGTTAGTATTGTTGGCTTCAGAAGATTTAGAAGGGCCAAAAGTCAAGCCTTCCAGCATGCCTGTGAGAAATTATCTAGATTAGGCTAACTGAGGTGAGAATCAACTCTGGTGGCATCATTTTATAGGGTAGGGTCCTGGATTAGCTAAAATAAGAGCAAGTGAACTGAACGCTAGCGTTCATTGCTCTCTGCTTCCTGACTGTGGACACGATGTGACCAGCTGCCTCAAGCTCTTGCCACCGTGGCTTCCCTTCCATGAACATGCATGAGTTAAAATAAACGCTCTTTGCTGTTTTTGGAGGGTATTTTGTCACACCAACAAAACCAGTGACTAGTATAGGGTGGGCGCCCTCAGGAAGACCATTTCTGTTGATGCAGAGAAAATCTAGGCCAAGTGATCTGCAAAGTTAAACCATAGGATGGACATAAGAGAGAAAGAATGACTGTGCACAGTTAATTCAGTGCAACTCAGTTATCCCTACTTCTGGAAAAAAGAACTGTTAAAACACAGAGCCCTGGTGTTCTGTTTGAGGGTTTTCTATAAATATAGAAACATGGCTGTTAATCCCTGCCAGCCTTTGGTTTCTATAAGTCAAGGCTTCCAGATAACGACACCAGAGAGTGTGCTCCTTGTGTGGAGTAATGTCCTAACTATATCTTCGAACAGTCTCTAAATATCTCACATATGTAGACAGAGAACGGAAGTTGACATGTCCCTGGAGGAGAATGCCCTGGAATAGCATTACTTGCTTTTGTCCTTTGGCTTCAAGTTCTGTCTTTCTGGGGCATGCTGGCCAGACAGGAAGAGTCCTGGAGACCCCATGACTCAAGAAGGATCCAATCAGGAAAGAACAGGTTCTTCTCCTTCCTCACACTTGTCAAATCTGAGCACACTGTCTTCATTAAAAGTAATTAGGATCTACTGTGAACTAAAATGATTTCAGGAGAAATAAACAAGTGATAAGGACTGACAGACGTTTAGGCAAGGCCCCATTAGTGCATTAGCCAATAGCTCTTCGTCGGTAAGCAGATAGGAATTCAGACTCACTGTTCATTTGTGTGTACACACTGATTTCTGTACTACCCACAGTTATGGAACCCTTGGGTGTTTTCTTTATCCTGTTCATGTTAAAAATGCAGCCCTGATATAAAATTTCTAAGGCAAGAAACTAGATTATGGTCATGCTGGTGAGCCTAAGGCCTTGTTTACCTCTGTGCTCCCAGACCCAGGGGAATAGGTCCTGTCCCACCTCTCCTGACAGAGACAGGCACAGGGCAAGTGTTGCTTCTCTTAAAACTCACAGGAAGGTTTTTGTTTGTTTGTTTGTTCTTAATATAAATCATCCCCGGCAGAGTGGTCACGCCTAGTTAAAGCAGTCTCCAGTCTGAAAGTGGGTGTATTCATCACAAGCACAGCGCTCAGATGAAGCAGTGGTGTGGGCCTGGAAGAGGCGTCTGCAGTGTGTGGGTCTCCTATGGACCACAGCAAGCACACACCGGAGGACCCGGGACAGAGGATAAAACTGAATTTGAAAGCTGCCCCAAAAGGGCCTTAAAATTTTAGTTCTCCACCAAAACTGGGGGGATATATAGATAAGAACCCAAGAATTTAGTCTACCTTGTTCTGTTTGGCTCTTGCTTTACAATAGTAATGTAGACCCATATCAAACGGCACAAAGAAGATGTTCAGCCTATGGCCTGGCATGTGATGGGGCCCATCAGAGCCCCTCACTAGCAAGGCTTCTGTGTGTGGACAAATCCCCTGAGAGTCCGGGAAACTGCTTAGATTGATATCAGGTAGAATGCGTTTGCTTAATGCTAATATTCATTGCTTAATTTTATTGAGTAGCTTTTAAAATGGAAATTTACAAAAAAACAAAAAAAAAAAAAAAAACCTCCCTCTTTTTGTACTCCTCCAAGATATCGATGAGTGCTCCCTTCCAAACATCTGTGTCTTTGGAACGTGTCACAATCTCCCAGGCCTCTTTCGTTGTGAGTGTGAGATCGGCTATGAACTGGACCGAAGTGGTGGGAACTGTACAGGTAAGGAGTCACTCACCTTCAACACGGGCTCTCAGGTATCCCAGGGTGCCATGGCTGGGGCCCTCACCAGGACCACACAAGCTTCAGAGGAAAACAAAGGGAGAGTAAGGCATTAAGAGTCGAGGGTACAGCCGGGCGGTGGTGGCGCACGCCTTTGATCCCAGCACTCGGGAGGCAGAGCCAGGCGGATCTCTGTGAGTTCAAGGCCAGCCTGGTCTCCAAAGCGAGTTCCAGGAAAGGCGCAAAGCTACCACAGAGAAACCCTGTCTCGAAAAAAAAAAAAAAGAGTCGAGGGTACGTTTTCTCAGCCCTGAAACTGATGTGGTATGAGGAGGCACAGGAAAGAGACAGGTCTGCAGGCTTGGACATGAGTTTGTGGTTCCCCAGGGATGTTTTCTGGGGTGCTCTAGCTGTAGCTTCTTGAATATGTCTTCAGAACTTCCTTTCAAAGGCCATGCCCTGGGATCTCTGGTTTGCTTCTTATATATTTCCGATGCAATCCCCATACCTTCCCATCCTGTTCCGGGTACTGACCACCAGAGTGCCTGATACACAGGAGCTGGCCATGCATTTCTTTTATATGTGGCGGTGGTTGGGAGTACAGGTGGGTGGTTAGGAGTCTATGCATAGGTGTGTGGAGGCCAGAGTCACCATCCAGTGTCTTCCTCTATTGCTCTCTGTTTCATTTGCTGAGACATGCTCTCTCATTGAACTTGAACTCACTGGCGGGCATGAGTTCCTGGGACCTTCCTGCTTCTTCCTCCCAGTCCTAGGGTTATGTGGGTGTAGTGGATCTCACCTCAGGTCCTCACACTTGCAGAGCAAACATTTCACCCACTGAACTATCTCCTTAGCTCCATTTAATACAAAAGATCATTTTTTGTAAAGCCAAGGACTCCCAAGGAGCACAAGAAAAAAAAAATAGAAAAATTACAGCCGCACGGCTCTCCTTGGTACCAAGAAAAGGCTGACAATCATGGCCAGTTTCTTAGTCTGCCCCTCTACTCAAGGTACAGAGAAATCAGGTCCCATTCTGAGGACATCAGGGTTTCCAGACCACAGGAAACACCACTGGACAAGTGTCCTGATTCCTCAGGCTGTCCTCTCCACAGCAGTTTGTCTGGTTCAGGGGATTTCCTAAGCATTGAAAATAGGGAAAAGAAAAGAGAGAAGAGGATTGTACAGAGTTAGAACCTGTCAAAAAAAATCCATGTCCTAAATATCTGGAATGTTGTAGATATTTTTGGAATAAAAACCAAAAGGGAAATGTCTGGGACAGCATCTGTGCAGGCAGAGCCCCCGTGAGTTTAAAGAAACATGCTAAGCCTCCTGCATGTGTGTTCAGAGAAGACCGAGCACACAGCCTGCTCCCAAATGTTCCCTGGGACATCTTGCTCTAATCTGACAGAATAACAAGCCACACATATTAAATGTATTGTTTTTATAAACCTATGTCTGAAATTTTGGTTGACCGACGTCAAAACAATGTTTTGCCGTTAGTTACCTTGATTGGGATATTTTTCTTAGCTCCAAAGTTACATTTTATTCTGGTGACAGCTGCGAAGGTAAACATGTTCTGGGGGTGGGGCTTGGATCAAGGCTGTGACCCAGTTCCTTCCTGGGGAAGCGCCTCTCCGAGGTGGGAGGTTGGCTCACTAGGCATGATCACATCTAAGAACTGATGAGTTCTTGTCAGGGGCCCTAGACTAGGTGCTCCTGCCTCTGGTGATGTCAGTCCACACTGACGCTGGGTAATTCCGCCCGTTTCTTTGGCTGTAGATGTTAATGAGTGTCTGGATCCAACCACCTGTATCAGTGGGAACTGTGTGAACACGCCAGGCAGTTACACCTGCGACTGTCCACCCGACTTTGAGCTGAATCCAACTCGGGTTGGCTGTGTTGGTAAGACCCTTAACACTTGTCTGAGCCATGCACTGTTTATTGTTTTAAAAGTCTAACTGAATGTTCATTTCTGACGTTTTCAAAAGTAATAGCATAGACATTTAAATATTTCTCAAAACATATTGTATACTTTGAGCATTTCTGAAGGAAAAGGACCAGCACTTGGGCACTGTTCAGCTCCTAACAGAAGTAATTACGATTTTTAAGCACGTTCAGAAATGAGTTTTGACTCTTTACTCCTCCTACGCCTCCAACAGGAAGAGTTTGCCTGACGTTTTGGTTTGTTTGTGTCTGATAAATAGATACGCGTTCTGGAAACTGCTATCTGGATATCCGGCCCCGAGGAGACAACGGAGACACAGCCTGCAGTAATGAAATCGGAGTGGGCGTTTCCAAGGCTTCCTGCTGTTGTTCGCTGGGGAAAGCCTGGGGAACTCCATGCGAGCTGTGTCCTGCTGTGAACACGTGTAAGTGGACAGTCTCTGGTCTGTCATTACTCCACCTCAGACCAGGTCTCTCTAGATCCGTAAAGCAGAAGTCACTGAAGGAGGAGCTGAGGGTGTCTCTGTTTATGACAGAAAAAGGCAGGTCATTCCCATCAGGACACTTTGAGTACAGAGCAGTCCAAAGACTCCCTCTTCGGCTTGCTCTAAAAGCTTACATAGGGCAGGGAGTGTCTCCTATCCTAGGAAGAAGATAGAATTACTGTAATGTTCCAGGGCTAGGTCTTCAAGTATATTTGAATGGAAGCTTCAGAATTCGATTTGAAGGCTGTAAAGAATACATCTCTTTTAAAAGGGGCTTCTATCTTATACTTTGATTTACGATCAGGCGTAGCCAGTCTGGCCAAAGTCAGTACCTGCTGCTTCCAAGGTACATTGGATAAACGTTGAGTCATTTCTTGACGAAGGGTCATGCATTTACTTCTCAAAATATTCACCAGTTAAGTTGAGGAGAGAAAGATGAGGTAGTCAGAGGCCTGCCCTCTGAGAATGTTTGGTCTGTTAGGCAGAATGGGACCCAAATGTAGGAGCTCTAATTCAGCATGGGCCTCCACCATGAGGGAAGAGGGAAGGCACAGAGTCACATTTGATCGGAAACATGCACTAGGTTCAAGTTCGGAGCCTCTGAGGGTCGGCTCTGTGACCTCGGCCAGGTTAGCCTCTTAGATATGGATGCAATCACTCCAGCAAAACCAAAGACACAGCCTGGCAGACACCACCTCTTCTTTCCTCTTCAGAGAGGGCATAGTTCAAGTCAGAAGTGGGTGCGGACCGCTTTGTGAACTTGTGAGCTTCGCTTTGGAAAAAGGACATGTCCTAAGTGAGGAGACACCCAAAAGAGGGGAAGAAGAAAACTAAAGGGGGAGGGACCCGATGTCACTGATAGTAAGAGATTAGGAGGGGAAAACCCAGATTTGGACTTGAGAACATGGAATTCAGCTTTATAAATTAATAATGATCAGCAAAAGGTCACTAGCTCAAATTAGAATGGGAATTTAAATATATATATATGAGTCCACATGGTTTCACAAAGCCAGGGCAAGAGTCTAGGGTTCTTTAGGACGATTTTTATAGGCTGCATCCCTGTCATTCACATGCTGAGGCATGACACTGAAAGAATTGTTCTATGTGGATCTTCATGGCTTGATGGAGGAGTTAAAAGATGCTGGGAAAGACGGCTTTTTAAAGAAAACATCTGGGTGTTACATGTGTGGAACAGAGGAGTGAGAAAAATATCTAGACATCAAGGAGGGCAGTGGGCTGGCTGAAAGTATGAATGAAGAATCTCCTAAGCTTTGTTTGGGAAGGGTCTTAGGGACGGGCTGATGATCATTATTAAGGGAGATGGTGACACCCAGGAAGGACTGCTAAGTACAACCAGGACAGAGTGAAGTGTGCGGGGGAAACAGAAATGGAAGGGAACTCTGTTTTTAAAGGCAGCGACAGAGATAGAGCATGAACTACCTCACAAGAATGTAGAACTGGGAGAGCAACTGCAGGTTCCCAAGATCAGCACAGCGGCCTTACGTTTAGGAAACAGTCCATGTACTCGAAGATGCTCACTTGCTTTAAATGGCTAAATAAGAGCAGAAGATTCTGGAAGGTTGGCATTGTCTGTCAGATGTGCCAGCCTTTCTCCGGAAGGTGTTAGGAACTCACGTGGAACCTTTTGTTTCAATAGCTGAATATAAAATCCTTTGCCCGGGAGGAGAAGGTTTTCGTCCAAACCCCATCACCGTTATATTGGAAGGTAAACGTTTCTCCTTTGCCCCAACACGCACACCTTTTGGATGACCTGGGTTGGTTCGCATCCTGAAGACATGCCTTGTTTTCCTTCTGATAGACATTGATGAGTGCCAGGAGCTCCCAGGGCTGTGCCAAGGGGGGAAGTGTATCAACACCTTCGGCAGCTTCCAGTGCCGCTGCCCGACTGGTTACTACCTGAACGAAGACACTCGAGTGTGTGATGGTGAGTGATCCCTTGTAGGAAATGTTCTTTCAAATACTGAGGATGACTAACACCCCAAACCAGGATACAGTTACCCAGAAATTGAGGGGTTAACGGTATAGCTTCATAAGCCAAACTTGAGCTAGACCATGTTCTTTAGAAAACCCATTTTCACGAGACTAGCAAGCCTCCTATCTCCGTGTTCAGGACAGTTCAAGGCTCTCCTTCTTGTCCTTTAACTACTTGTCACCTGTGCAAGTGTGTTCAGATGATCCCACCTTAGAAGACGGGGCTTTGTCTTTAAGATACAACAAATGGCCTTATTCAACTTTTTAAAGATAAAGAATTTTGATTGTTTTTCGATTTGAAAACAATTAGTCCAAGGACTGGGTATGGGGGCAAGGAATCCATCTATATCCAGGATTCAAAAGACCAGTTGGGGAGAGACCTCTTCAGTAAGAATTATTTAAACATCACGTGCATTAGCATCAGTGCTCAGACTCCCAGCCAACAACTACTCCTATGAGCCGCCTTGTTTGAAAATGGAGAGGCACTAAGCATCCCTCCTAAGCATCCCTCCTACATTACTTTACAGTGAAGATTTAGGAAGCCGACTGTCGCTGATGGCTTCAGTCTAGATTCTATCTACGAACATAGGAAGTATGTCATTATCTTTCTAAAGATTCTGCCCCATTTCCATCTCTCAGTGCTTTGGGGGAGCATTAAGGACTGATTTATTAAGCACTTGTATCAGAAGGCATGGGTCCCTTTGTAGACCTTCTTGGCTGAAAATCTGGACACCCATAGGCTGAGTCCCTGCTGTTCACATCTGGGGTTCAAGTCCCCCAGTTGGAGGCTTGGCTCTTGGCTGTCAGCACCCGCACTGACGCCGGACACCCGCCGGTTCCAGAGTGATGCATTCATAGCCACGTTACACCCTCTCTTCTGGGTTATAGATGTGAACGAATGTGAGACTCCTGGAATCTGCGGGCCAGGGACATGTTACAACACAGTTGGCAACTACACCTGCATCTGCCCTCCAGACTACATGCAAGTGAACGGGGGAAACAATTGCATGGGTGAGTCTCAGTGCGTCTCGGGACTGTGGTTCCGCTCATCAGAGCGCTTCCCTCCTTTGAACTTTTGTAGTTCACTTCACCCCCCGCCCCTCCCCCCCAACATGCCCCTTGCAGACCGTAAGTTTGGCATGGTCACCACTGTGGGTGGGTGGTCAAGGGTTTTTCTGTAAAATGTGCTGTTGGAAGGTGCCGGATGCTTTAATAGCACTTCTTTCTTTTGACTTGTAGGTGTGTCTTTATACACTTACATTACAGCACTGACCTACAGCACTAACATACCATGAGTCGGAAATAAGAGACTCGCTGCCAAACGGCAGTGGAGAATTGTTAGGAGGAGCGTGGGCGGAGGGCCGTGTGGCGTTTGCTAATGCTGCACTCCATGACGCACGTTTGCTAATGCTGCACTCCATGATGCACGTTTGCTAATGCTGCACTCCATGACGTACTACGTCATTCCGCGGCACAGAACACCAGCGAGTGCATTTCTCCAGATGCCTTGCCTGTGGTAGCATGACTGGCTGAGAAGCTGTGTGCAGGATGGTCTGCTGCTCTTACCACAGCTGGACCGGCACATGTGCTTGCCTTTGGAGACTCGCGGCAAGCTCTGCCGCGTTGTGCAGAGCCCGCGGGATCACCGGCGCGATTGTTCTCCTTTTCCTCCAGACATGAGAAGAAGTCTGTGCTACAGAAACTACTACGCTGACAACCAAACCTGTGACGGAGAGCTCCTGTTCAACATGACCAAGAAGATGTGCTGCTGCTCCTACAACATCGGCAGAGCCTGGAATAAGCCCTGCGAGCAGTGTCCGGTCCCGAGCACAGGTGACACTGGGTTTCATGGCTACCGCCATCGAGACATCGGCTAGGAATGACTTTGTCTACAAAGTCGATCTTACTAACGAGAGAAGAGAGTGTATTCTTTCTTTTCAGAGGGAAAACTTGACCCGCAAGGGCAAGCGTTTACCTTACCATTGACTGTGGTCCTGTCCGCTGAAAGCCAAGTGACAGAATAAATTTCCTAACTTGCATCCAAATTTATAACCAGACCTGTAAATTCAACATATCACAAAAACATAAACCTTGCTGGCATTGTTTATATTAAGACATTGGAAGCATCAGGGAAACCAGTATGATAAATAAATGAACATAATTTCTTATGTGTTTAAAACTAACCTTGGGCTGTGGAGAAGGCTCTGTGTATAAAAATCACTTGCTGCAGAAGTGTGAGGACCTGAGTAGGGATGTTGAGGACCCACGTGAAAGCCAGCCGCAGCCACCAGGATGGAGGATAAGGAGACCTGTTTCTCCCACGGTGTTGGGGTGGGGGTTCATTTTTCCTTCAGTGTCTGCATTACAGACAAGGTTACATCTGCAGTATTTCCAGATGGAAACGTTTTCACAACTGTTTACATAGTTATGTCTCTCCCTGAGTTCTTGCTCATCCCTGACCTCTGCCCCTTCTTTGTTTAACTCTTGCAGATGAATTTGCTACCCTCTGTGGAAGCCAAAGGCCAGGCTTTGTCATTGACATTTACACTGGCCTACCCGTGGGTGAGTTTCAGCCTGTGTGCGTGTGAGCATGATGGGGGTCCTCTGCTTCAGCCACTGAGTTAAAATCGGGGCGGGGGGGGTTCACATCGCCATTTTCCTAGGTTTGCTTTTCCCTTTTCTGAGAAGGAAAAATTGTTAAACAATGCCTCGAGCAGTTTCAAAGTTTTCATTTGAAAAATCAATGAGACGCCCTTTGCAGCGCCACCTAATGGTTAGAAGACTTCACTGCTCATGATGAAGGGGCCTGGGAAGCTTTTTGGAAAATAACAGTCCAGCTTAATGAATCTTAGTGAATCAACAAAGGGATGACAGGGCCAGATGCTGTTGGATTTACCTTAATTCCTCAGCCTTTCCTTCTAAGTTTAACATGACCTTTCAGTTCTTTTATGAGGGTTTGTTACACAAAGCCTCCCTGCTTATCAGTTTTTCCTCCCCTGTCCTCTCTTTGGGTCCCTCCCTTGGAGAATCCCATGGGTCTAAAAATCTTTTCAGAGCCAGGCATGGTGGTGCATGCCTGCACTTGGGAGGCAGAGGCAGGCAGATCTCGGAGTTCGAGGTCAGCCTGGTCTATAGAGTGAGTTCTAGGACAGCCAGGGCTACACAAAGAAACCCTGTCTCGAGAAAAACAAAATCTTTTCAGTATGAGGCCTCACGTGGGAGCTGAAGCAGCCGCTGTGGCGGGATAGCAGCTGGGACTAGATCGAGCATCACCGTGGGTTGAGAAGCGGTGCACAAGGTTCTCCAGCATAGGCAGTGCCCGTGCGGTTTTGAAGCAAACACCACCAAAGTCAGTGGACGCTGCTGCGTTCCCACTGTCTCCCCGCTGTGATTTATGCCCATCCCTAGATGCCCCCTAAGCCTCTGCGACTTCGTCTGGTAGCAGACACCACCACTTGCTTTGTCTTGCCTTATTCCTAGTAAGTAAAGCCGAAATCCACATCAGCCTTTCCAGTGACCTTGTTTAAGAAAACAAGGACCTGGGCCAGCAATCAGCAGGCTTTCATAGCGCCAAATCCATATGGCTCCACGGGCCAGTCAACATCCAAAGAAACTTCATGGTTTGGAAAGAAAAACTGCTAAATGACATTGGCATGGAACACCTGGCCTTAGCTACTCTGTTTTTCTCCTTCCCAAAACATCTTTTAATCTGTCTAGAATCTATGATTGGGAGGTAAGTGGCCTCTAATGGTAATGGGTCTCCATGGGCAGTCCAGGCATGTAACCCGGCAAGGCCTGGCCCCCACAGTTGGCAGTCAGCAAAGACTTGAAATGGCATTAGCACCATCCACTAGTAGACCTGGGAAGACCTCCAACCATCTTGTCCAAATTCCTTGCTTTCCAATGGAAGAAACAGAGGCCCAGAAAAGGGAAGGGACTCACCCAAGGCCACCTAGCTAATTAGTAACAGAGCTGGGACCAGAACCCAGTCCTGACTCACAATTTGCTTGGCATCTATCTCTGGGCAACTAGAAACATGGTATTTTGCAATGTACTTAGTGTTACCAAATTCTGCCACGACAAAATAGTTGGATGATTATAAGACCTTGTTTTATTTGAGCTTATAGCCTCCTTCTGAAAGGTCTTGGAACTGTTAGTATATATATAGCGTCCATTCCTGGGTGGCTAAAACTATATACCATGTTTATTAATCTTGTCTTAAAATATAAACTTCTCCAAATGGAAATAAAATCCAGACAGGAAAGGAAAAAGAAAACATTTAATAATATCCTTTTGCTATTTTGTACCTAACAATGACTAGGGATTTGGTCCAGTCTGTTTTTACTAAGCTGAGTAATAACACATTATTCCTACTTAGAACTAACGGATGTGGGTGACCCTATTTCATGTTTTAATCTATACTAAAAGAATGGAGTCAAAATTGGTTCTTGTTTGCAGATAAAACATGATGGTGATGTTACCTCACATGGCTATTTAACATTGGTGTCAGAGGCATAAGAATCTAAAGACAAAATTACCTATATTCGAAATAGTGATGTTTTGAAATTGTACCCTTGGAGATTTTGTTTTAATTGGTTGTTTAGATTAGCATGTAAAACAGTGGGCTTTATCACGACAATTGCTATACACATGTGTGGTTACACTTCTCACCCACTCCTCTCCCTGTGCCCCACTCCCACTGTGCCTTTGGCTGGTCCCCTCTCTCCTTCCAGTCAGCCCCCGCTCTGCTGTCTTGCTACAGGAATCCCACTACCCTGCTTCACCTCCCTTGAGAACCTTTCCTCCGCTCTCACCATCCCCCTCCTGGTTTCACAGCCTCTGTCTCCCTTGGAGATGCCAAGCTGTGTTTTCCATTAAGGTCAGTTTGCTTCAAACAAAGTCAAACTCCTAAAAAGGGGTCTCAGCCAGGTTGGTTTCAGGGTGTGTTCTTTTGAGGTTTCTGCTATTCTTATAAACTCCACCTTAGGGCTAGAGAGACGGCTAAAAGGTTTGGAGCACTGGCTGCTCTTTCAGAGGACCCAGGTTCAATTCCCAGCACCCACATGACAGGCAGCTCATCACTGCCTATAGCTCCTACTCCACTAGATCTGACAGCTTCCCACAGACATGCATACAGGCAAAATACCAATGCACATAAAAGGAAAATAAACAGACTCCACCTTAGCTCATGGCTGTCTTCTTACAACTCTGGCAAGCAAATACCCTACGGAGCCTCCTGATTATAATAAGAAAACAAAGTTTCTCTGTAGAGTAACGGAAGCCTCAGGAACTAGAAACTCGTGAGTGTAGCCCCATACTTTACATGCCTGTCCAACTGACATGGTCTGTCAAACTCTGACAAGCAGTAGAGGAGCCTTCCAGGAGAAGATGCCGACAAGCCCAAACCTCTGACCTTAGGAAACACAGTCTTCAATCAGTCCCTCCTCATCTGGCGTACATGTTGCTCAGTAGTTGCTCACTCAAATGTGGTCCCTACCTTACAAATAAGATGCTTTGCAACAAAATCTAATCCCCAAAGATATGGAATCCACATAAACACACGTGGGTCTGTCTTTCCAATCCTGTCTTCAGTTTTCACAGGATCATGGACCACACTGTTGCTTACAAGGGGCTTCTCTGTTTCTAGATATTGATGAATGCCGGGAGATCCCAGGGGTCTGTGAGAATGGAGTGTGCATCAACATGGTCGGCAGCTTCAGGTGTGAGTGTCCAGTGGGATTCTTCTATAACGACAAGTTACTGGTTTGTGAAGGTGAGTGTGACTGTACCACATCTACAAACAAAGCACCTTGCAAATTCTACACCACTGGACTCAACTCAAGATCTAGAATAGAAAAATACATCATAGGAAGTTCTCCCAGAGTTGACAAAAATACGTTTTAGGAATGTATTAATTAAGAAAAGCACATGGTAGAGACCAACATGAGATTTCATGAAAAAACAACCACACTTCTTTTTTTCATTAACTCCTGGGGGGAACTAAGATGTTCATTCTAGAGCCTCTTCCCCAACACATGAAATATTAGTTTCCCAGCTGATAGAGAAAACCTTTGAATTCCTGGGTGGGTCCAATGGATTGCTTTTGTTTCTTTTTCTTCAAAGCAAACACAAGAGGATAGTTATCTTTAGCTAGACGTCAAAGCCAGTGTTCTCTTCAAAACAGAGATCTACTTACCTAGAATGGAAACAATGGTAAAACCAATATTCCAAACACCTAAGAGAATTCTAAATGACAAGAAGAACAAATTTGATTTTATATGGAGAACGTTGGCATGCAGGCAGATGGACCTCCGGTTGCCTGATGCTGGCATATATGTAGACAGAGATTCTTGAGTCTCCCTTACAACACGTCATACTTTCCCCTTCCAACAGGAAAGACAGCATTCTTTTACATTTTAGTGGAAGAAACATTGCTGTGTATTAAATATATGATGTTCTCTGGGATAACTGGAATCAGTTTCTATGCAATACTTGAGGGGCAGGCCTCTAGCCAAGTTTTACACATTATAGAAAGGTTGTTATTACCCCTTGGAGCATGTGCTGTGGCACACACGTCAGTATTTTGACATTAACAAAGCATTTCCTCTAAATCAGGAACAGTTTATGATCCACACATAGAGTTACGTTCCATTAGTAACCACAGGCTTATTAGACTCTCTTGCCAACTTTCAACCACTGTGGCCAACTGGGCACGCATCGCTTACCCTGCTTGTTGTGTGGGTTTGTGGGCAGAGGTGATAGCCAGTCTGGGCCTTTTTCAGGAGATAGCCAGTTCAGAGCATGGTCCCAGCTGGGTGGGTAGGTGGGGGTTCCCAGGCACCATCAAGAATCAGGTTACTGCAGAGAAAGCTGATGTAGGAAGAATAGGGAACAGCAGATCTTATCATGCTAATGGTGGCTGTCCTCTTCTTGGCTGTTCCCTTCCTTTCTGGTATGAATCTAAGGCTGCCTGCCACTTTTTCCTTGTGTTTTCTCTTATCTCCATTTAGAGGCCCATTGGATAGTTATCCAAATACCCCTTTGCCACTAATATTTGCCAAAAGTGCTGCCCTTGGCCAGGACACATAGGCAAGGCCACCCATGAGCAAAAAGTCAACCCAGACCTTGCAACATACGTGGGATAGAAACCCTGCAGCTGGGCCAGGGCAAGACCCCTTGTTGTCAGGGAAGACCCTGCATGCTCCACCCACTGGCTCTGCCTAGAAAGCTGTCAAGACACAGTCCCATTCAGAGAACATTCAGAAGATTGGGTGTTCCGATTTGGGATTCCCATTTCACAAATTCTTCATCTCCGAGGTGAGTGTTTAAATGCGCTCAGCAGCTTCCCACCACATTCTTAGCCTTCAAAATAAATCAGAAAATGAGGGTTGATTTCATGCATGTCTTAGCCATCCTGAAACTGGAATGGATTCCAGGAATGTTTCTGGGGGACTTCCATATTTATACTTTCCACAAGGAAGTGCATGAGCAGATGTCAGGCTCGCATGTCACAGAAGCGCCTGCCTGTCACACCACTTGGCTTCTATGGCGTGGTTGAGTCTGTGTTCCCTTACAGTTTACAATCAGAGCAAAACTGGTGGGTCAGATAGCTGTGTCCATCCTGACACTGGCACTGCCCCCTCAGACAGACATTCGTACTCCTGGAAGCTCCCCCCAGTGGTGGTCAGGTTTTCCCACCATAAAAGCACAGGCCTGAGAGACATCCGGATGTATTTCTGTTGTGGCTTTTCCTGGGGAGGTCTGAACAGACCTCTCTTCACTCAAGGTAGGGCACTGACAGCACACCAAAGAAGAGAACTAAGTTTACCAAGTTACGCACAGGAGCGTGGATGAGGAAGGATTCCAAACAGGAGCATGGATGGCCATAGGCAGCTACATCACTGAAAAGCCTACCCTCCCCCAACGTGGAGGACAGTTCATGCAAGCTGATTGCTAAAAGGCTCACAGGCAGCTTGGCTGGCTCCTCTTCCCGGGCACTGTTTCTGCCTTTCTTCTTTGGGACTTAACTCTCTTCGAAGTTTTGTTCCCTTCCTGGGTTGTTATATCTCACCTCCTAGGGATTAGGATCCATCATTGGTAATGGACTTGCTGGCGATGGAAACAAATCTATAGTGACATGGATACCAACCATGATTTTATAGTGATGCACATCTACTAGGATTGTGTCATAGTTTCTCAGCCCTAAGGTGTCTCTCTGTTTTACATACCTGCCCCCACCCCCACCCCAGTCTAAGCCCTGGAAACCACTAATCTCTTTCCTAGTCCCATAGTTTTGCCTTTTCCAGAAATCCAAATAGTTGGAATCCGAACAGTATTCAGCCTTTTCATCTGGCTTCTTTCACTTTTAAATCCACATGTGAATGTCTTCCATGTCTTCTGGTAGGATACTAGCTGATATTTTAACCATCTCAGTATATCACAATGCATTTATAATGCATTCACCCACCGAAGGGTATCCTGATTGCTTGCAAGTTTTCGCCACTATGAATGAATCTGCTATAAATTTCCCTTGCTGAGCCAAAATAAGATACATGTCACTGACTCAACACCAGACTCTGTTCTCCCTCGAATTAAACTCTCTGCTGCTTCCAGATATCGATGAGTGTCAGAACGGCCCCGTGTGCCAGCGCAATGCTGAGTGCGTCAATACCGCAGGCAGTTACCGCTGTGACTGTAAGCCTGGCTATCGCCTCACCTCCACGGGTCAATGCAACGGTAAGTAGCATCCGCTCAGAGCCTGCCGCCATCTCTGTTCTGATACCTGATCTTCCTCAGCAATTATAAAACTAAGGAATAGAAGTCAAGGCTTAGGTTGATAAACCCAAAGTAGCTAAAGAGAGAGAGAGAAGAAAAAAAAAATCAGGAGAATTGTTGGAATATGTAAACTTAGCTTTATAAATGAGATATTTGCAAAAGAAAACAGAGGTCATTTATATAATCAATGGCCTATATCCCTACCCCACCCAGACATTCCCACCTCCCCACACATATAAAATCAGTGTTCATGACCAAATTATTACTATTATTATTATATTTGCTTCTACATAATCTCCCAAAGACAGGGGAGGTTTTCACCACCTCCATTTATGCTAGAAGGCTGCACTCCCTTGAGTTGGAGTAGCTCTTCTTGTATAAACAGATTTCACACACCACACACACACACACACACACACACACACACACACACACACCACTACCACACACCCTTGTCTTCCCAAACATCTCACTGACAAAAAAATCTCTCCCTGAAGGCAGCATACACCGACAGTCTCATCAGCTCCCCATTACCTACAGTAAACCGGTGGTTCGGAAAGTGGACTGACAGCCTTTGTCAGGATGTGGTATAAGTAAGAAGGGAGTGTGTCGTCAACTTCCATAGGTGGTAAACTCAGTCAACATTTGGTGATACCTATAGCTAGCCACATGACAATGCAGACCCTCGTGTTTCAGCTCAGAGGCAGACCAGTACTTCAGCCTGGTCTTCATGTAAGCTTCAGCATGGTTACAATCGTTGCACTTTTAAGGTCAGGAAGAATGTGTCACCCTGCTCAGGGCTCTCTTCCAAGTGGGTTTCCTGGGGTTTTGTGCATTTGTGAATGAAACAGCTCAGGGGAGACCATGGTCAGGTTTTCCTTGGCTCTCCTGGCCAGCCGTGATTAAGCGGTAGGAAGTGTGCTGCTCTCTGAAGGGTGTTTTCCATTGTTTAATGAGACCTTGGTGGGAAGAGGGTGTAGGGGCAGAACAAAAAAAATCACTTTGTGAATCAAGATTTGTTTTGTTGGGTTTAAAGGAGCATGTGCGAGTCGTCAGCATTCCCTCAATGGAGCTGAGGTTATCCATAAAGTAAACATACAGAACAGGAAAAGTGCGGCTCTCGCTGATAGGAAGCACAATACCCTGGTGCCTTTGACTCTAGCTCTACTTCCCTGCATTTTACTTTTAATTTATATTTCTTTGGAGCTGGCTGAAGTAAGTCCAGTTAAAATAAAGAGTGGCTGGTCATACTGAGTGTGCCATTTTAGACCATTTACTCTGGCCGTTAAGTTGGGCTATTTATAGACCAACAAAAGTCACCCAGCTACAGCCGACTAGAGCGTAAGCCCTTTGTGTCTCCTTACTGAATGTTCACATAGACTGCAGCTGGGGCTATCAGGATAAGCCTGGGTGAGCCGTTTATAGAGCCCAAATTCAGCTTCCCTCAGTTGTCGGAGCCCATGTGTTTTGTAACTCTTTGGCTTTGAGGGTGGAAGATTTCATTCTAGAAACATCTCCATTTCCATCTCACTTTTGTTCTTTATTTTTGAGATAGGATCTTACAGTTTAGCTCAGGCTGGTCTCAGGTTCACAATCCTCCTGTCTCAGCTCCTGAGCACTGAGATTACAGTTGTTGTCCATCATGCCAGACCACCATCCTGCTTTAAAACATTTTTAAGCACTGCCTTATCCTGGTAGTTTTCAGGCATAATGCAAAGCATTCTCTTCTGCCTCTATTTAAAATAAAAATAGCATGCTATGAGATTTTAATTGGAATTCATAGGCACATTGTTTCAAATTCCAAGTCACACTGGTCCTAGCTGTGATTAGAGGCGGGTGCTGAGGGGGAGCTCAGGTCACATTCTGACCTCAGTAGCAAATCCTACCCCTGTAGAAATGTCTCTCCCAGCTACACCCCCAGCCACTTTCTTCTGATCTTGCCCTTTCTGCTTGGGATCCTGCCCCTACTCCAAAGTTTGGCCAAACCTCCCAAGAAACCTCAGATGTAACCTCCTGGGGATGTAACTTCTGTCTGGCTCTTACAGATTGCTAGTTTTCTAGACCCAGAAAAGGGAGCACCCCACTAGTAGGCCCCCTAAAATGATAGCTTTTGCTTTATCACCAGAACCTCCAAGTACTCCATTTTTTTAAAGACATAAAATGGCATAGAGGAGAGACCTAAGATGAAATATCTGATCCTTACATACTCCCAAATCCAGCAACGCCTGATGGTGACCAGCCTGCCTCAAGAGCAGCTCCCTTTTCTGTTCATGAAAGTGAAAAGCCTTTTTTTTCCCCATCCATTCTTCATCTTAAATATTTTCTCAAATGAGAATAGTGAGATTTGTTAACTGTTTTCTCTATAGGCTAGCTTTAGTTTCTGAGCTGTGTGATCCCAATGCCTCCTGCATTTGAGACTTTTAAACAGTGTCTTGATTGTTCTGTTTGAAGATGGCTGTGAGAAAGATCTCTGCCAGGATCAGCCTTGTTGCTCTGATGTGATGGTGAATGGTGGTTCTGTAGACCCAGGAGATAAGCAGCCTGGATTTGCAACTAAAACCAGGATGTGCTGGAATGAAAACTCTCGAAGGGAGACAAAGCAGGAAGGCTGCGAGCATCTATTCAGTTATGACGTTGTCCCATTTCAGTGACAGCGTAACGTGTTGGACTTTGCGATAAATTTTCAAAGGAAGCCCCACAGTGTCCATGATCTTTAGTACCAAAACCTGGAGATATTAATTCCACAATCTGAGATGCTGTTTAGGCACCTTATAAAACACTTCTTCCCATTCTAAGTTGTTGTTCTTTTGTTGTTGTTTTTTTTTTTTCCTTTTTCAAGATACTTTTGGTGGAAGGAGCTATTTCATTGGTTGACTTGGTACTAAAGTAAGATCTAACTGATCTCAAAGTGAAAATAGACAGAATGCTTGTGTCTGCTTCACTACCTCCGTTTCAAGTTAGGATTAACTCTCAGGACACTGCCTGGAAAAAAAGCTGTGCAGTGATTTCATGTCCTAAGTCTCCGTGTAAGAAAACAAGCAGATGTACATAGTGTCCACCTAAGATGCCTTTGATTTACAGATCGGAACGAGTGCCAAGAAATCCCCAACATCTGCAGCCACGGGCAGTGTATCGACACGGTGGGAAGCTTCTACTGCCTCTGTCACACCGGCTTCAAGACAAATGCAGATCAGACCATGTGCTTGGGTAAGTGTGTGCTCACGGTCCATGCTTTTCTTCGGAGCTTATTGAAGGACTCACATCTGAGTGAGTGCAAGATTTAATACCAAGTTGTTTGTTAATTAGTTCTTTTTTTTTTTTTTCAACAAAATAAAGTTAAGAGTAGCCATACAGTGACACAGCACTTCATCTTGGGCAATCCGAGCACATTAACCATCTTCCGTGATATTCATTAAGCTGCCAGTGTGTAGCAATCCTCTTCTTGCAGTTTGGGATCAAACTTACTGCCTTGGGCACTCTAGGGGAGCCCTCGACCGCTGAGTCACATTCCCAGCCACAGGAAACAATGTTTAACTAACAAATTGAGAACTGTATTGGAACAACAACTTCATTTGAATTAATGTTAACAGTGTGTGGCTTTGGGTAGTATTCATGGAGGGCTCACTTATCAGAGCAGACTCTCTCCATTTGAACTTTCTGGAAACTGCCAATAAAGAATATATCTTAACAAATAGCTTAGCAAGCTTGGCTGTTGGGTGAACACAGCGGATCTGCAGTGCCTTCCCAATTCTCAGGGGGCTGGTGGAGTGGCTCACTTCTTTGGATGTGATGCTCAGACCACATTCAAGGCCCTGGGAGCTAGCAATAACTTTTCCATCAGATTCACAAATAATTCCCTTTTTCTACTTCCCCCTTAACATAGTGTGTAAGAAAATGCTAGCTGCTGTAGGGAAATGCAAAAATACTCAAGTTGCCAGAATCGGCTTCACTGTGCACCAAAGAGAAGAGTCCTAGGCCAGCAAGGAAGACAAACAGCGCCAGAGCCTCTGAACTGAGATTGAGTACCACCTCATCCCTTAGCTGAGTTCAGAGGAACAGCTAAGTTATCACTGATGGGAAAAAGGAGACGTGTCCAAAGTGGCGGGTTAGCCTGATGAGTCACAACGTTGGGGTAACTTGGAGTTCCTGAAAGCTGAAGTATGCCAAAGGTGGCGAGAAATGAAGGTCCAGATGCACACAGAAGTTTTTCCATTTTCAAGTGAAAATATTTGCGCAAAGTGGCAAGGGTGGAGAATTTGAGAAGCAAATAGACTAAAATTCCTGTCCAGTTCTCATGTCCTCATCTCGCCTCCTCCCACGTGCCAACCGAGGAAGCACTGGACTGCCAAGGTGTAGGCTCTCACCTCAGCCTCTCCAGGGCACCGATGCCATCAGCCAGAACATTCCAGCCCCCCGGGGGAGATTCTGTGTGGCCCCTTCTGCTCCTCAGCAGCAGTGACCACATCATCACTTTTCCCTTTAGTCATGGTGTCTCTCTCTGGCTTTTCTCCCTCCTAGACATAAATGAGTGTGAGAGAGACGCCTGTGGGAACGGGACTTGCAGAAACACAATCGGGTCCTTCAACTGCCGCTGCAATCATGGCTTCATACTTTCTCACAACAACGACTGCATAGGTGAGTGTGCTGGA